CTCAAGCTTAGAAAAATTCAATTTTACCATGTAACAAATATTTGACTAAAACACTGTACATAAGGGGTCATCCATAAAAAATGTCACGCTTCAAGGGGAAAGGGGGTCCAAATATTTGTGACACTTTGTGACGAAGGGAAGGAGGGAGGGGTAAACGCAAGTGTGACATCCCTTTTTTCAATTTTCCAAATTTATTTGTTAGTCTTATGTTGAAAAATAAAATAACCCACAGCTTCCATGTGATGCATTTTGCCTTTCTGTTCAAGGTTCTTTTGAAAACCGCATCTGCGAAATATGTGTGTTATATAATGCTTCAATTGTGATGGCAAAAAGGCATCATGTTATTCAGAAAACACCTTTATTTTAGCATAATAAAGTTAGACCAGTCAGAGTTGCTGCTAGACGTCATAGGGAACTTATGGCATTACTTGCATTTGAAGAAAACGAAGATGTTGAATAGCCTAATGAAAATGACGCGGACAATACCAACATAGAGTTACCAAATATACAAAAAGAAGAAAACCCATGTATTCTGTTGGTTTCAGTTTTAGAGCACCTGACCAGCCTTTGGGAAGAAAGCAATTCGTTATCTTTCATATCAATTCGTTATATTTTAAATACGGTAAAGCAATTAGATATCAAACTGTCGTCATATAAACTTGTCATTTGTTATTTTGATATTAATAAAAATTAATGCATAGAACAGTTACATTGTATAATGACTCTTAACTAAGAAGGGGAGGGGGGTAAGGTTTTGTGACATGCTTATTTTTGGGGGGTTGGTCGATTTGTGACAGTTTGTGACACGGGGGAGAGGGGTCAAAAAAACGTTAAAAAAGCGTGACATTTTTTATGGACAGCCCTTGAGGCCATAATACCGATTAATCAATCAATCAATTAGTTTATAAAGCACTATTTCCGCGATGTTCAACAGCGGTCTTCAGTGAATTTTGCAAAGAGATGAATCTTGAGATCCGCTCTGAACTTTGTATGTAACGAAGAAATAGTCAGAGAAGGAGGTAGAAAGTTCCAGATAACAGGGCCAGAAAAATGCAGATTTAGCAAAATAGTTTTTAACACGAGTTAAGAAGAAATGAGAACAAGATGATCGTAAACCGGGGCGTTTAGGTTCAATTAATATATGTGATATGTTTTTAGGAAATAATATAGATAAAGACTTAAACAATAATGTGAAAATTTTAAAAATGTTTCTATATTTTACAGGTAGCCAGTGCAAAATGACAAGATATGAATATATATGAGAAAAGAAACGAGCAACTAGATGAGCAGCAGAGTTAAAACCTTTACTTAAATGATGGTCAAGAGCAAGAAGAGTAAAAATATTATTGTTACAACTGTTTCAACGACGACGAGTTTGTCTAATCCCAGTGAAAATAAAGACAATATAAATTCTAAATTATCGATTTAATTATTTACAAAACAATAATTAATTAATCAATAAAAGTTAACGTTCACAAACTATCAAATTAACTTTCATAAACTATCGCTTTCCTAAATACAATTCACTAACGTTTATCTCAAATACAACAAAAGCACGATGCAGGGTTAAACATCAAATATTGCTTTCGACACTAACAGTCAATCGATCTCTAATATCAAATATTTAATAACCACCATTCAATATCTCGCATGTCTTTATACATATATACCCGTCTTACCGACGCTTCTCGAACTTCCTAGATAGCTCGCCGTCAGAAGGTTCTAGTTGCTCCCCGAACTGTATGCGTTCGTAGCGACACTACCGCCTCTAGCAAATATATTTGTAACGGTTACAACGCTATTATCAAAAGAGAAGGATATCATTATGTATTTTGAATAAAGAAGTTTCAGTACTGTGAGCAGGTCCAAAAACAGGATACAGGTAGCAAGGAGTTAGTGTTATAGTTTAAAAAAAATGATAATTGATTATGAACTAATTTTTCTACTATTTTAGATATGAAAGTAATATTAGTGACAGGTCTATAATTAGATAAAGAGGAGTTTTTAAGAATGGAAATAACAATAGCATTCTTATAAGAAGTAGGAAAGTTAAAGGCGGAAAGAGATAAATTAACTAACTTGATAATGATAGGATAAAATATTGAAGAAAATTCTTTAATTAAATTAGAAAAAAGCAGATCTAGAGAACAAGTTGTAGATGACATAGAATTAATAATTGTAGTAAGTTTATAGGAGTAAATACAGAAAAAGATTCAGTAGTAGTTTAGTAAAGTTATGAAAAGTAGAATGAGGATTAGATGTTTTTAAAAAACTAATTTTATTTACAAAAAAGTCATGATACTATTGAGCAGAAAAGGGAGAAAAAGGTGAGTGAGAGGTTAACAGACCACTTATTTTTAGATGTTGATCAATCAATCATCGTTTAGCGTCCAGAGACTCAGTTCTCCTGAGGTAGGACGTTGTTTTCTTTGCCATCAATTTGTTGCGCCAAATTAGGCGATCAGTTGTATCCATTTCATTTAAATTTAGAGATTTTATGTCCAGCTTGATTGTTTACAACCAGGACAACTTTGTATTCGAATACATTTCCATCACGTCGAACAAGATATTCTGGAATGAGTTGTCGACGTAGACTCCACCTGATTGTTTCACGGGGAACTCGATCAAATACTTCTTCAAGGTCTACAAAAATGTGTGATAGTTGTTGATGCTTTGCGAGGTACTTCTCTTGCAGTTGCCGAAGGATGTAAATTGCATCAATTATTGATTTCCCCGCTAGGAAACCAAATTGATAATTTCCGATTGTGATGCACGACGTTAATTTTTTCTCAATGATTTTTTCGACAATTTTCAGACAGTGTTCCAACAGACGTATATCCCGATATGATGAACAGTTCAATGGATCAACTTTGCTTTTGTATAGCGGAACTGTCATGCTATAGTTCCATTCAGTCGGCGTTGAGCAATTTCTCCAAACTTCACGGCAAAGTTGTAGTAACGTTTGGATACCTGCAGTACCAGATGCTTTGATAATGTCATTTGTGAGTCCAGAGAGCCCTGCTGCCTTTCCATTCTTCATAGTTTTCAGAGCTTCTGTAAGCTCCTCTACAGTGATGTATGAAATCGGACCTTCGATGGGTGGAGCGTCAAAGTTGACATTGATGGGATTTGTTTCGTTTAACAGACGATTGAAGTATTCTCTCCACTGTAGCTTGATCTCATTTTGTTCAAGAACCATCTCATTTTGTCGTTTTTGATGCATGAGGCACCAACTATGTCTTTTTTCGTACGCTTTGCTTGTTTTGCTATACGATACAGAGATTTCATTTGTTTACCTTTGCTTTTAGTGAACCTCTCTCTGCACTGATCTGTCTGAGCCAGTGCGATTTGGTGTCTTGCATAGTTGTTCTCACGAAAAATTTTATGGTCATCAACAGACTTTGATTTTTGCCATTACTTGTATGCAGCTTTCTTTTCAGCTATAGCATTTTGTAAACTGTTGACGCTTTGCGAGATACTTTCCTTTGCGAGATACTTTGCCGAAGGATGTGAATTGCATCAATTGTTGATTTCCCCGCTAGGAAACCAAATTGATAATTTCCGATTGTGATGCATGACGTTAATCTTTTCTCAATGATTTTCTCAACAATTTTCAGGGAGTGTTCTAACAGACGTATACCCCGATATGATGAACCGTTCAATGGATCACCTTTGCTTTTGTATAGCGGGACTGTCATGCTATAGTTCCATTCAGTCGGCATTGAGCAATTTCTCCAGATTTTACGGCAAAGTTGTAGTAACGTTTGGATACCTGCAGTACCAGATGCTTTGATAATGTCATTTCCGAGGTACAGCCTATGGACGATCATGTCGATGAGCTCATTCCATTTTAGATCACTTTGTATAACAATTTCCAAAAATTTTACCGAATGAACCCGTGGAATAGGTATGCCCTGGATAATCAGCTACAAGCCACTCAGGGGCACCTTGTTCGTTTTTATCGAGGGACCAAAGATGACATAAAAAGACTTGGATACTCACTGTCAGCCCATTGGACAAAAACCAATCATAAATCACACTAAGCTGGCTATTCATTTCCGTGAATAAGTCCAATAGGCTCTTACCTGACAAAAATATACTGGTATCGTCAGCAAATAACATCATAATGCATCTATCGGATACAGAAATGATATCGTTTACAAATATTATAAACAACAAAGGTCCCAATATGGAACCCTGAGGGACACCTGTTAGAATCCTTAAAGGGGATGACACAACATTGTCAATAGAAACATACTGATTACGATCAGTTAAGTAAGATCTGAACCAATAAAGAACAATTTTACGAAACATGACTCATATACCGGTATTACTACTACTTCACTGACTAAAAGGCTTACGATGCATAAACAGAGTGGTGCTATCAAATCTCATTTGGACTCAACACAATCACTATTAGCCGTGAAATCCTCGACAGCAACACCAAAGTAATATACCAGAACAGCAACTACACGCATCTTAAAATTGCAGAAGCAGTCCTAATTGACATCAATAAACCAAAAATAAATATACAACAAAAAATGACAACCTCACTTCCAACCCGGCGCTTAACCAACAATGAAAACAAAGAAGTAATAAATACTAGCATTGTAAATAGTGACAAAAGAGAATATGATGCTATCGATGAAAAAAAGGAGACCAAAGAAGATGACCAGCCAATAAAGAAATCTGACACCTAATTTCCATCTAAGTTCATTTTGACAAAGTTTCTCTCCATCTGAGTTCATTTTGACAAAGTCAATATTTCCCTATATAAACAGCAGAAAGCACTGATGATGATTCATTCAGAATCGAAATATGGCCTTATTTGCAGCATGAATTTGGAAAATAAGTTTATTTTGAATTTTAATAAAGTAAAGGTTCACTAAAAAACTTTAGTGAGAAAAATCGAAAAAACGAACTACAAACATGTTAACGCCAAACATTCGGTAGAATTTATAGAATATTGTAAAAATATATATATATATATGGCGGGGAAAATGGCGGAAGGAATAATTGTCGAGGTTAAAAGCGATAAAAAATACGTAATTGATACGTTATTGTGTTATATTTGGTACGTTCGAAAGCAGATAAATGCAAAGGAAATGAAAACTTCTTCGCAAATTTTTTGAAGTTGACGACGTAAAAAAAAGTGCAAATTTTTTGCAGCATGAAGCCAGCACATTATCGCTCAGCCTGCCGGAGTTTTCCGAAGAAGTTGACAAGAATATAATGTGGGACGAATTTCTTAGTATATGTCGGTTAATTTTTGAAACTAAAGTCGAAGACAAATTTCCCTGTTTTCTCGCTGACGACTTGTGGAAAGTTACTAATTGTGACATTAAATTTGAGAAATTGTCAGCTGAACAGGTGAGGTTGCAAAAAAGTGTTATTCAAAATAGTCCGGCCGTTTTGGAATTTCTTGAAGAGCATGGCAATATACTGAGTGATGTCCAAAAAAAGGTGAACAGTATCGTGTGCAGTGATGTATGCGCTGATGAAGAATTAGATGCTGAGACATCAGTCGCTAAAAATTTGTCTGACATTGCTGAAGAAGGTAACAATGATGGTGGACATTTCATAACAGTCAGACGCAAGAAAAGAAGAAACATTTTACTATCAACTAATACAAGTCCATGTTGTCATGCAATATCAAAGACCACTGTTGAACTTCATAGGCCTACGCAATATACGCAGCTAGTATAGTTGTATATAGGAAATTTTTTTATCACATTGGTAATATTTCAAAGACTTGTGCATCCAATGTTGTTGACCACCTTGAGTCAATTAATGTTAAAGTTTTGTCTTGCTACCCTGTATTCAAGATGAGAGATGACAAAATAAAACTTGATGAAACCCACTCTTCTAGTTCATTCCGGTTGTGTGTAGATGAGAAGTATGCGAAAATAGTTGAAAGATCAAGTTCTTGGCCTGATTATGTTCAGGTTAGGAATTGGGTCTTCAATAACAACAGCAAAAGTGGCAGCACCAGAAATGCCGATGTCGATGTCAGGACATGTTCTGATGTGAAACGATGATATGGAACTAGTGTCATGTTTTATCTGCAAACTTTAAATTTATGATTTGTTAATTTGACTTAATTTTTTTCATTTACCCGCTATTTTTATATTATACAAGTATACATTGTATATTCGTTTAATGTACATAGGGGATAAACTGTTGACTTTTGACAATCATTTCTTTAATTTATTGTTACTGGATTTTAAGAGAGCCTGTGAGATTTTATTTAATAGGCGCTGTACAAACGCATTTATTAATAATAATAATAATACATAATTTCTAGCATTGGATAGTTTTTTGTTACATTTCTTAATATATCTAACAAAATTATTGTCGTCAAAAATTATATCATTAAAATTATAATAATATTTTTTTTTATTATTCTTTAAAATATCAGGATCTGACAGAAGCAGAACTGTTACAGCATGCAAGGCAATAATATAAAATAGTAAAGAACAAAATAAATAAATAACGGAGGAAAAAATGTAAAAAAAACCATGAAAAGTAATGAAAATGAAATAAGGTAATGGTATAATAAGGAAAATAAATTAATTTATTAATGGACTAGATTATGACTTAGGGAGTTAGTGAGGTGATCGATAAGTAAAAAAAATAGATTGAGTAAATGATAAAGTTTTATTGAGTGCTAATATATTTAATGTGTCTGTGATGAAGGTCTTATCCTGATATGTTGATTGAGTAATATACAGTTTTTCAATTCATTCTCGAGTGTATAAGATCTATTTTGATTTTTCAAACATCTTCAGCACTTGTTGCGGTTTATATAGATGTCTTGAATAATCCAGGTTTTTGTTCCTGTGATTAGCATTAACTGTTATCAGTGACTGTTAATTTTACTGCCATCTTTACTCATTGCTATGGTTTCTTTGTTCGGGCTAATTATGTTTTATTTATTTATTTATTTATTTGAACAAAGCACGGGCTATTGCCCATTACCGAATTTACAGGAAAAAAAATGCATAGTATTATACATGCATACCACGATACATTCGTACAATTGCTTCACAAGTATAATCACGAAGATACTGCATTATACCATGGCAGAATGAAAATAATTTCCAAAAACAATAAATTAACACTAACAGTGTCTTGAATGTCACCATAAATGCAAACTTATAAACCAAGATATAATAAAATACTTTATCCATCTAACCCCATTAATCCCATCCTACACCTGAATAGCATAAAATTTACTACACATTTCCAATGCAATAGAAAAAATAAACAAACATTCATGCATCCATCTAATTTCCTTAACCTCCCCTACCCATCTACCAACTCATATACCCACCTACTCATAAATCCATGTGTTAAACAGCTTACCATACATAATATCCATTAACACCCTCAAAAAACATTATCACTATACAATCATTAATTATTATATCAGATAATTATATTAGAACCTAGAAATTTCATTAATTATTTACCAATCAATAAAAAAAAACCAAACAATCATATGAAAAACAATAATAATAATAAGAAAGTTATGAAGTCAATATAAAATATAATTAACCAAAAAATGTATAATTGAAATACGCACATGCATTCAACCATAAAATGGGTAATGAAATAATCAATCCAAGTCAATCATACATATTCCCAGTCATTACTGATAAAAAATAAAACAAATACATATTTTTACCTATATTTATGCTCATATTTTTACCTTATGATAATTATTACATTAACCTCTTAATAATGGGTATTATAAATGTTGCATAAGTAATTCTCTCATTAATCCACTCCCATCCATCCATGAAAAATTCTTATTCAATCATACTAATAGATTAAAAACATCAAACCATTCCTACTTATCAACACACACATCCAATTGAACCGTCAGTTTAAAAGTATCACCTATATTGAAATTTAGCGTCACCCCAAAACAAATCCAAACGAGATTTAAAAACACTTGTATTTGGAGAGTCAACAACAGATTGCGGGAGTCTATTCCAGTCCGCGACTACTCTGTTACAAAAAAAATATTTTCTAACATCCTTGTGAGATAAACCTGTTGACAACTTCATATGATGCTCTCTAGTTCTCCCATCATTATTGAGCAACATGAACGAATGATCAGTATCTGGATTGGTCACCAACATTTTATATAAAAAAATCAGGTCCGCTCTACTTCTTCGATATTTCAAAGAATGCAAGTTCAATTTTTTTAATCTATCAATATATAACATAACCATAACAAGAACGGATAGATCTAGTAGCTCTTCTTTGAACTTTTGAGGTTTATGTGATGTGGGCACCAAACCTGTACCGCATACTCTAGATGTGGTATGACCAAGCTTTTGTACAAACATAGGTAAGCTTCTTCATCAATAAGTCTAAAATGCCTGTTTATGATGCCCAACATTGTGTTGGCTAACTTAACTTTACTATATATATGATCCATAAAAGTGAGTTTATCATCAACAAACACACCTAAGTCTTTTATTACTTTGACACTTGGATCACTTGTTTGACCTGGTCAGAATCCCACATTTCATAACTATTATTATATTTATTTCCGAACTTCAATACGCAACATTTATCTACATTTGGAATCATACGCCAGACATTTAGCCAATTTTGCACATTGATCACATTTATTTGCATGAACTTCAAGTCATCTGAACTTTTGATAATTTTAAACATCTTTGCATCATCCGCAAAAAGATATATATTCTCACATGCTGAAGGGAGATCATTAATATAAATTGTAAACAGTAGAGGTCTCAGGATACTACCTTGGGGAACTCCACTAGTAGCATCAAACTTTGAAGACAATGCATCACCCACTCGCACCCTGAAGTTTCTCTTCTTAAGATATTCACTTATCCGAACAAGAATTTTGTTATCGAATCCATATTTCTTTAGTTTCCGTAACAAACAGTTGTGAGATATCCTATCAAAAGCCTTCTCGAGATCAGTATATATGACGTGTACCTCCTCATCGCAATCAACACCCATTGTAACTTTATCCAAAAATGTCAGCAACTGAAGAGTCGTCGATCGTCCGGGCAAAAACCCATATTGATTTCGGTGAAATAAATTATTCATCAGAAAATAATTCAAAACATGGTCCTTAATAATTGATTCCATCATTTTACAACACACAGAAGTAAGAGAAATAGGCCTGTAGTTACTAACCAAACTTTTACTTCCTTTTTTGTGTATTGGTATTACTATGCTAGCCTTCCAATTTGCTGGAATCATACCGGTATCTAGTGAACATTGAAAAATTTGCCTAACTGCAGAAACAACTGTTTTACTTTCCAACAATATCCGTGGATGAATGTTATCAGGCCCTGCAGATTTGTTCTTATCCAATAAATAAATCTTTTTAGACACTACGTTATCATTGAATTGCAATTCATCCATTCCGGCAGCCGGAACCAATGGATATAACGAGTCATCACAATTAACCTCATTGTCAAGTTTATAAACCGATGAAAAGAACTTTGCCAAAGCTTGGGCTTTTTCATCATCACCCGTGAGATCTGTGTTCTGTACTCTGAGTGTTTCAACCCTGCCCACTGTTGTTATTTTCTTCTTCACCTGTTTCCAGAACAGTTTTGGGTTGTTATGATAGTTTCTGGCAATAAAATTCTGGTTATCTCTGTCCAGCTGTTTACATTCTGCTCGAACTTTATCTCTCGTAGACCTGAAACTTTGCAATAAGTCAACGTCTCCATATTTATAGATTCTTTTCCAATAGTAGTGCTTAAGCTTGATAAGTCGCCTCAGTTTAAAGATGACATGCTTAACAACACAGCTACCACATATTTTCATAGGAACATATTTTGAAGTAGCCTCACTAATCAAAAAACAAAATTTTTGCCATAAATTTTCTACGTTGCTCTTTTGGTCTACATCCACAGTTGTATCAACAGATAACATGCTAGAAAGATATTTGTTAATTGCATCGTACTGTCCAAGATTAAAACACAACTTCTTCCTAGGTTTACTGTGCAAAATTGAACAATCAAAAATTTTAAATGAAATCAATAAGTGGTCACTTCTGCC